TTGCGAAGAAGCTCGTGCTTCTTTTGTTGAAATAAGGACAAATGGTTTGATTCGACATTTCCTAAGAATCAACTTAGTGAAATCCCCTATTTCGTATATCGAAAAAGGAATGATCCTCGGGGTTAGGATTGTTCTCTGATAATGGATCAGATTGTACCAATATCAACCCCTTTACTACCATTTATTCCTATTCCAAGGCAAAAATTAACAATCTCTTAACCAACGTCAAGGAACTATTCATACATTGTTGAATAGAAATAAGGAATGTTAGTCGTTGATAATTTTGTCAGCAGCCAATTGTTCTCGAATGGAGCCATTCAAAGATGTAAAATATCACAGTGTGATAAAAGAATCAATTAAAAAAGATCCCCTAATTCCTTGTTAGGAATTCATTGGGCCCTTAAGGAACATGCCTTCCAATTGAGAATTTTTATTCATCTTACCATTTAATAACTCATAATCAGATCTCAGTAACTAAATATTTGCAACTTGACAATTTAAAACAGACTTTTCAAGTGATTAAATTAAAATATTATTTAATGGATGAAAATGGAAAAATTTTTAATCCCGATCCATGCCGTAACTTATTTTAAATCCATTCAATTTGAATTGGTCTTTTCTCCATCACAATTATTGTGCAGAGACATCTAAAATAATTAGTCTTGGACAGTTTATTTGTGAAAATGTATGTATAACCAAAAATGGACCGCCCCTCAAATCGGGTCAAGTTATACTTGTTCAAGTTGACTCGATAGTGATACGATCAGCTAAGACTTATTTGGCCACCCCCGGAGCAACTGTTCATGGCCATTATGGGGAAAACCCTTTACGAAGGAGATACATTAGTTACATCTATATATGAAAAATCGAGATCTGGTGATATAACACAGGGTCTTCCAAAAGTAGAATAGGTCTTAGAAGTGCGTTCGATTGATTCAATATCCATGAATCTAGAAAAGAGGGATTGAGAGTTGGAACAAATGTATACCAAGAATTCTTGGAATTCCATTGGGGATTCTTGATTGGTGCTGAGTAACTATAGCGCAAAGCCGAATCTCTTAGGTTAATAAAATCCAACAGGTTTATCGCTCCCAAGGGGTGCAAATTCATAAAGGCATATAGAAATTATTGTTCGTCAAACAACATCAAAATGTGTTGATTTCAGAAGATGGAATGTCTAATGTTTTTTCACCCGGAGAACTTATTGGATTGTTGCAAGCAGAACGAATGGGGGCGCTTTGGAAGAAGCGATCTATTACCGAGTCGTCTTATTGGGAATAACAAGAGCATCTCTGAATACTCAAAGTTTCATATTGAAGCAAGTTTTCAAGAAACTGCTCGAGTTTTAGAAAAGCGGCTCTCCGGGGTCGATCGATTGGTTGAAAGGCCTGAAAGAGAACGTTGTTTTGGGGGGGGTGATACCCGTTGGTACCGGATTCAAGGGATTAGTGCACCCTTCAAAACAACATAACAACATTCCTTTGGAAACAAAAAAAACGAATCTATTCGAGGGGGAGATGAGAGATATTTTGTTCCACCACAGAAAATTATTTGATTCTTGTCTTTCAAAAAAATTCCACGACATACCCGAACAATCATTTATAGGATTTAATGATTCCTAACAAGGATTCATCTCTTTCCTATCTACATTTGGTATGGTTATTTGCTTTGGTAATAAAAAGAATAATGAATAGAAAAGAATAATGGTTTGGGTCGTGTATCTACGTCCAATCTACAGTAGAAGAGAAGGTTCCATCGGAACAATTATTTATTTCAGTTTAGGGTTCCTCGTCTTTTTTTTTTTTGAAAAAGAATAAAAAAAAGGGGGGAGGTTGTGGGGAGAAATGACAAGAAGATATTGGAATATAAATTTGGAAGAGATGATGGAGGCAGGAGTTCATTTTGGTCATGGTACTAGGAAATGGAATCCTAAAATGGCGCCTTATATCTCTGCAAAGCGTAAGGGTATTCATATTACAAATCTTACTATAACTGCTCGTTTTTTACCAGAAGCTTGTGATTTAGTTTTTGACGCAGCAAGTAGGGGAAAACAATTCTTAATTGTTGGTACCAAAAATAAAGCAGTGATTCAGTAGAGTGGGCTGCAATAAGGGCTCGGTGTCGACAACATCTTCACCATCTAAAGTAACGATGAGTCGAAGAACAGCATGCATTGATAGGTGTTGAGGCCCCATATTGACTATCATGAGGTCTTTCTTGTAGTTGGTGCAGTCATAAGTTTTTTAACGATTCATTCTTCCATGAATTACTGAAAGTTAAAAGAAGTTCATCAAAATTTAATTGAAACATATAAGTGAAAATAAATAACTCTTCAAATTAACTAGTTTTTGTCTCTCGAATGTCCAAATGATTAATTAATTCTTTATAACGTACTCTATATTTTTTTGACAAATAAGCTAGCAGTCATTGACGTTTTCCCAAAATTTTCTTCAAACTTCTCTGAGATAAATAGTCTTTTTTGTGCAATTCTAAATGTGAAGTAAGTCTCAGTTTCTTATTGGTGAAATTGAATACTTGAAATTCAACAAATCCTTTCTTTTCTTCTTGAAAAATAACTGAAATGACAAAAAAAATTACCATAAATGAATTTTCCCTTTCTTTATTTTACAGATATGGATTTTTTCGAATTTTATTGATCAGTAATAATAATGCCAGTAATTTGAATGTGGTATATAGACTTAATTTCTTTATGAACCTCTAATTTTAGCAATTCCAATAAATTAATCAAATTTGAAATTTGATTCAGATAGGAATCCAAAAAGGTGGTAGGTACGTATTTTTCAGTCACAAAAGCGAATAATTGTAACCTAAAATGAAGAAGATTTTGTTGATTCATTTCTAGATATAATCAATACCTTATTTTATTGATTTAGTATTGTCTACTCGAATTAGATTCGAATGAGATGTAAAACAAGGCATGTTTATATTTGTTTGCTTTCAGATACTCTATACGAGACAGGGTATATAGTACTATCAATTAATTTTCAATCGTGGATACATATGTATCCTTAAGATACTCAAACGGCTACCATTATTGGTATCAAACCAATAACGATTCATACAAGCTAAATCTTCTAAACGATAATTAGGCCAAAGAAAGAACTTAAATTTAATTAATTCATTTTTATCTTTATAAAGGGGTTTCCATTCACCCAAAAATTGACTCCAGTTTTTTACATTAGTTTCGTTGCAACATACTGGATTTCTATCGACGACATTCCAATTCAAAGAATTAAAAAAACTTCGAATTCTCAATTCTCTACGACGTCTAGACCATAAAATATTTTCAGGAACAAGCAAATCAAAATGAGTTTTTTCTGTATTTATTCTTTGAGTTTGAGATTGTAGAATGAATTCGTCAAAATTCTTTTTATCAACATATCTTTGTTCTCGGTATCTTTGATTAGTTTGGTGTTTACTTTTATGAATCAATGAAATACCTATGGTTTGATACATAATAAATTGTGCATTATGTTTTACAGACAACCGAATAGGTTCGGGATCGTCTAAAGGGTGTTCTAGTGCGTTGTAGATTCTTATCCAAGACTTGTATCATTTGATGATGCCATGTTAAATTCTTATCCAAGACTTGTATCATTTGATGATGCCATGTGACTCGCTAGAAACATGTGAAGTGTATGGCTAACCCAATAACAAAAGTTTCGTAAGAGGACTGGAGCAGGCTACCATGAGACAAAAGATCTTCTCTCTAAAGAGATTCGATTCGGAACTCTTATATGTCCATGGTTCAATATTGAAATAATTTCAGAGGTTTTCCCTGACGTTGTCCGTGTCAACAAACAATTTGAAATACCTCGACTTTATTAGAACAGGTCCGAGTCAAATAGCAATGATTCGAAGCACTTCTTTTTACACTATTTCAGAAACCCAAGGACTCAAGTGTATGGATATGTAAAATACAGGATTTTCAGTCCTAGCAGGAAAGGGAGGGAAACGGATACTCAATTTAAAGTGAGTAAACAAAATTCCATACTCGATCTCATAGATACATATAGAATTCTGCGGAAAGTCGTATTCAATGAAAGTCATATGTACGGCTTGGAGGGAGATCTTTCATATCTTTCGAGATCCACCCTACAATATGTGGTAAAAAATCCAAAATAAGTTATTTTAGCCCTTATAAAAAGAAAAATGATTCTTGAACCCCTTTCACGCTCATGTCACATCGAGGTACTGCAGAAAAAAAATAGCAAAATCTGATCCAATTTATCGTAATCGATTAGTTAACATGTTGGTTAACCGTATTCTAAAACATGGAAAAAAATCATTGGCTTATCAAATTTTCTATCGAGCCGTGAAAAATATTCAACAAAAGGCAGAAACAAATCCACTATCCGTTTTACGTCAAGCAATTCGTGGAGTAACTCCCGACATAACAGTAAAAACAAGACATGTAGGTGGATCGGCTCATCAAGTTCCCATTGAAATAGGATCCACACAAGGAAAAGCACTTGCCATTCGTTGGTTATTAGAGGTATCCTGAAAACATCCGAGTTGAAATATGGCTTTCAAATTAAGTTTTGAATTAGTGGATGCTGCCAAAGGGAGTGGCGATGACATACGCAAAAAGGAAGAGACTCATAGAATGGAAGAGGCAAATAGTGCTTTTGCACATTTTCGTTAATCCATGAACAGGATCTATACATCTCGATCGGAAAAGAATCAAGAGAAAAAGAAACAATCGGAATTGATCGATAGATTTCTCAAAACAAACGAAAAGGAAACGAAAGATGAAACATAAATCATGGATCAACTAAGCCCTCTCGGGGACTTTCTTAAAGAGGAACCTCATGTAAATACCATGGAATAAGGTTTGATCCTATTCATGGAGATTCCGTAACTATTCCAAAAATGGAAAGTTCGACACAATTGGTATTTTTTTTTGGAAATTGGAAGCAGCTACTAATTCATGAATATCGCATACTTGTATAACTTGTAAGCAGTTACTCTAGGGATATCTTCAAAAGAGATTTTCAGTTCAATTCGTTTCATTTTTCTATCCACCCGACCAAACCACCGACTCGGATTCTTAGATTTAAGGTGATTTGTGTATCGACCCCAACGATACTATTGTTCCGTACCATTATGGAAGAAGATCCGGGCAAGATATGCACCTCTTCAGGAATGAAAAAAAATCGATCTACTTTCATTTGGTATTTTGGCCTAGATTCCTTGATTCCTCAATACTCAATCAAATCCTCTTTTTTAATGACTGAATGTGTTTCTATAGTCCAATATTTAATAATGCCCGAACTCTTTCTTCTGTATCGAGGATCATCGAAATAACCAAGAATACTATTTCGACGAAAAATACCATTTACGGGGATTTCAATCGAGATACGTGAACAGGGCATTAGTTCATTCTCGAGTTCTTGAACGAGTGTAGTGGAATGATGAATTTATTTCTTCACCTTTTTGACAATAAATCAGAATTCCCATGAAGAATAGGCGAATATACGAGATTATATTGACCAGTACATATGATTCGATTAAGGTTTGAATAATCAGGAATCCTATCTTCTTTTTACCATAAAAATCCGAACTACCTGATCATTGGTTACTGAGAGGTTATAAGTATATCTTCGCTTGCCAGAAAGAGAATGCGCATTCATTTGATCTTGATCCTTGTGGATCGAAAGGCAGACTAGACTAGACCTGCACGGCCCTCCTAATAATATCCATAAATGACTTGTTTTTGGTAATAAATGAACATTACCAAATGTAAATTTGGGTGCATGATAGACATCGGTACTCCAGTGCATTTCTCCGTCTGAATTAGAATAAATATGTTTTTGAACCTTCTCTTTAAAATTCAAAGTGGATATTCCTGACCGAATCTCAGCAATTACTAGTTCTGATTCTATATATTGATCGTTTTGAACTAAAAGCAAACTTCTGGGTGGAATATTCACATTATGTAGAATATCTTCACTCTCAATAGTTGCATACAAGTCTATAGAACATAGAAAGGTGGGATGCCCATGATGTGTACATGTCGGATGAACCAAGTCCTCATTGAATTTTATTTTTCCATTAGATGGGGATCACACATGTTCTGCAGTATCCCCCGTGAATACTCCTCCGGTATGAAAAGTTCGTAATGTTAATTGAGTATCCGATTCTCCAATCGATTGACCTGCAATAAAACCTACAACTTCCCCCAATTCAACCAGGTCCCATGAGTAGGACTACGTCCATAACATAATCGACAAATCCAAGATGTACTCCTACAAGTAAAGGGAGTTCCAATAGAGATTGGTTGTGCCCGAAAGGTTATGAATCGATTTACAAGTCCAATGTTAATGGCTTGGTTTCTAGTGGCAATACATCATGAACCCATGTATATATCATCTGCTAATACACGGTCAATTAATGTTTGAATAAAAATCCTTTCCGGCATTATCCCATTCTGAGGACTCACAGAAATACCCCGGGCGGTGCCACAGTCCGTTCGACGTCCAACAATGTGTTGAACTACTTCAACAAGTCTGCGAGTGAAATATCTAGCATCTGATGTTCGTACAACAATATCCACAACTCTTTTATGGGATCCGTAGCAAGAAATGATGTATTCTGTTAAAGAGAGTCCTTCGCGTAAATTGCTTTGAATAGGTAAATCAATCATTTGTCCTTGAGAATCCGACATTAATCCTCTCATACCTACTAATTGATGTACCTGAGATGCATTTCCTCGAGCTCCCGAGAAAGACATTATATGAACTGGATTAAAAGGGTCAGTCATCCTAAAATTCAAATTCATTTCTTAGCGCAAATATTCATTGTTGCATACCATATTTCAATGGATTGACGTAATTTTTCTACCGCATGTACATTCCCATAATGATGGTGTTTTTCCAAAATCAAACTTTGTTGTTCAGCATCTTGAACTAGCCATCCCTTAGAAGGTATTGTTAAAAGATCATCAATTCCTAATGAAATGGATGTAGTAGTAGCTTGTTGGAACCCCAGAGTTTTTACTTGATCCAGGATATGTGATGTATATGCCATTCCGAAGTGTTCTGTTAATCTACTAATATGTCGTTTCATGGCAGTTCCATCTATCGCTTTATTGTGAAAGACCAGATTGGCCCGTTCTGCCATAAGTACCTCTATACTCCGCTGAGTAGGATTCGACAATGGGTTTGAGTCGGTGATTGTAAAGCTTTCTTTTATCGATCTTGATTCGCATATAAATTCCGGAACTATGGACCTAGCTGAACCGGAGAGCCCCGAAGTCCCATGGTATCATAGAATTAGGTAGCATATGAATAGTCCCGATAAAGAGCAATATGACCAACAGTGGTTCGAATGTATATAAAATGGAATTTTTTTTTAGACTTCTTACTATTAGATAGTGTCTATGAATCTCATAAAAAGTACCTAAAGATTCATAGTGAACTTCGATGGGAGTTTCTCTTGAAGCAATAACGTGTTGATCTAGTCACCACCGGAGCCACAAAGGACTATCTAAATTGATTTGTTTCTGCCGATAAGCCCCAATTGCATCATAGGAATTCGAAAAAAGGGTTCTTTCATATACTTATAGTAACTATTGTCACTTCTTTTTTTATTTTGATAGTTTCTGCGATTACATGGATTATATTTATTTACACAAATACCTCGATGATTTTGCTCGTTAATACGTAGAGTCCAATAAGCATATCTTGCGTTGGTACGGAAATGGGATCCCCAATAGCCAGAGACAAAAGACTCATATGAGAAAACATAAGTAAACGGGCCTCTAATTGAGCCTCCAAGGATAAAGGTACATGAATAGCCATTTGATCTCCATCAAAATTGACATTGAATCCCTTTGTCACGCCCCGAGCTACCCCCAAGACGCGGACACGGGACCTAGGACCACAAGTGATCCCAAGCTAACTCTGCTGGCATGATCATGAGCATACTAAAGAAAATAAACTGATGCGGAAGCTAATTCATAAATAAATCTGAAAAGATGGGGAATACCCATATACTGTAACTGAATATATCAAATCTGAGAGTTTAATACAAAAGAAATATCAAACTCAAAACACTAAGCTGAATCTAACTATGTCTGAAATAAGCCTCTAAACTGACTAGAAGTGCTGGGACATGCCCCAGCTAAGTCTAGAAAATCTGAAATTAAAAGACTGAAAACTGAAAGATGACATGACTATTGTCCTCGAAGAATGAGGACTCACCACTTATGCTGCTGAACTGGAGATCGGGAATCGATCTAAGCGTGATCTGGATACTGAGAACCTGAACCTATATCACGAGAAGATGTAGCGCACGTATGCGTCAGTACTTGAAGGGTACTGAGCATGCAGGATAGAGTAAAGCTGAAATAACATATAACTGAACAAAGCAATGAAGCAATGAAATAATCTGAACATGGTATAGATACTGAAAATACTGAATACTAAGCTAACTGATGCAATGACCAAATTTATAACATGTTGAGACTGAATACTGACTGTACTGAAATATGGTAAATGCAATAGAGTCTGACTGAACTGTGGGAGCTACTAATAACCGACATAAAACCACATGAGCTAAATGTGGAGTCCGATGTACACGCCCCATCGAGAGGACCCAATATACCCTGCCAGAGGTATAGAGGCATGCTGGCGTGATCACTAAACTGATGTTGCCCACAGAGGGAACTTACACCTACGTGGCTCGTAGTTCTGGGACTATATGGGTACGCTGAAACCCTAGTCCAACTCGGTATTATGCTACTCCTAATGAATTAAGTGGTTAATTGGTTATGACTGAATTTCTATAAATACTGGATAGCTCGAAACTGAACATGCAAACTGAGAATGCAACAATTAATCTGATAATGATGCATTCATAAACTGAGGCATGTATAACTGAATATATTATGACTGAAATACTGAATAGCTTAAAATACTGACATGTAAATACTCATACTTGAAAACTCCTTTTTAGAAAACAATACTCTGATCATTGATGACTTGGGAAGTCATACTGCATAAACATTGATGGTATATCTAGATACCATACTATTCATACATTGATGACCTACTCAATTGTCATACTAATCATGTATTAGAAGCTCTTTCTCAAAACTCATCTTAACTTTCTCAAAAACTCAATTTAAAACTCAAGTGTTGTCTTAAAGAAAAGTTTCTCATGATTTATAACTCAAAATAGGGTTTATGCTGAAATATACTGATAATGTGGCATAAAACTAGAGCATGTATATCTGAATAACTGAAATATCTGACCTAGCATGTGTAATTCAAGAACTAATGAACTACATAGCTAGGGTTCTGAAATTTATGCGATAAACTGAGCAATAACATGATAATCTGATTTGGAACATTTAAATAACTAATTCACGATGATCTGCTGTAATTCTAGAAACCCTAGGTCTGTTCATAATCATGGAATCAAGAATCTGACTGAATTCTAGGGACCTAATGGGTGAAAGGAACCCACTAGTGAAATCCCACATACCTGGTGACGAATTCCACAGAGAAATCTTTCGATTTCAGGGCTGGAACTGATGGAACCTTGCTACGTTCTTGAACTAGGGTTCTTGACTTATTTTCTCCTTTTAGCGTTCTAATTCTTCTAAGTTTGATTAATGATTTGACTTAGGTAAGTTCTAGTTATGTTTCTAGGCTTAAACTAATTAAAACCTCATGATTTAGGGTCTAAACGACGTATCTTAGGGGTTAAACGAAATAGGAAAAGACCAAAAGACCCTTGAATTAGCTGCTGTCGGAGTGACTGACGGACTGGACTGACGGTCCGTCAATCAATCGACGGTCCGTCGATTGGGTCCGTAGGTCAAGTCTGCCCGACAGGGCTTCACTAAAACGGGAATAATGTTTTACTCGGAGGTCGGACTTTAGCAAACTCGGTGGCGTTGGAAAGATAATTAAATTATCTATCTAACCATAGGTCATGGGGCATCTAATTCCTTTTTTGCTAAAAGTTATGACCATCTGAAGTTGGCCTATCAGAATTTTCAGCTAACTGGCTGTTGACCCTAACTTACGGTTAGACCTAGGGACCGTGGATCGATTGACGGTCCGTGCTGGTCAACCATCAATCGGGACTGAAGCTGGGCTTTTGGGTCATCGATCCACGGACACGAACTACAGTCCGTGACCTGACTTACGGACCGTAAGTCCGGCCGTGGGTCAACACTTAGCCAAATTTTCTGACTGAGTTCTGGGAAAGTTTTCTGCCACGAACCACGGACCTGCAGGACGGACCGTGAGTCCATCTACGGTCCGTGGATGGTGTCGTGAGTGCCACCTGCAACACCATAAATCTGCAATCTGGTCTATTTTCAGATACGGGGTGTTACACCCTTGCAAACTAATGGATGTAAAGAAATAGCGTGCCCCTCCACTAAAATGGGCTGGAATGCCTGTATGCCTAATCTATGCAGCGTAGGTGCTCTATTCAGCAATTCAGGGTGTCCCTGCATAACTTGTTGAAGGATTTCCCATACAATCGGCTCTTTTACTCGAATTTACTCTTAGCAACTCCTATGTTCGAAGCAAGATGTTATCTAATTAGACCACGAATTACAAATGTCTGGAAAATTTCTATTGCTATTTCACGAGGCAATCCAGATAGATGTAATGAAAGTGAAGGACCCACGACAATGACAGAACGTCCTGAATAATCGACTCGTTTACCAAGCAGAGTCTCACAAAATCTTCCCTCTTTGCCTTCAATTCCATCAGAAAATGACTTGTAAACTTTATTATGACCGTCCCTCATTGGTTGTCCCCGGATTCCATTATCAAGAAGTGTATCCACGGCTTCTTGTACTAATTTCTCCTGACACATTACTAATTCTCCTGGCGTAGATCTACTTGTTGTTAATAGATCGGTAAGGGTATTGTTCTGATAGATAACTCTTCTATAGAGTTCATTAATATCTCATCTCATTATTTTACTCCTATCTATCTGAATGATCGATCTCAACTCAAGAGGAAGAACTGGTAATAGACACAAAACCATCTATTTTGATTCTATATTTGTTCGAATAAAATTCTTAGCCAATTCCACGCATCTAACCAAAAAGCCCTTTCTTCTTCCAACTTTTCGATCTTCCCATTCATTCCCTGTGTGCCCTTCTTCCCCCAATTATTCCCATTCTACCAACTAATTCTCTATAATAATTTGTAAATCTAGATCGGCTAATTGTTCTCGGAAAGCACCTGCGCCAATAGAGATTTCTCGATTGCGAAATGTATCGAAACCAACCCTAGGTAGTAAAAAAAGTGGGATGTTGTATTTCCAAGAATGGATTTCATATTCGAATAAACCTTGTAATGGTAAGAAAGTGGGCTTTTTAGTTATGGGCCTAGCAAAAGAAAAATTGGGATAGGATTCTATAGGATCTCCCCCCTTTCAAAATCGGACGTGAAAGTTTCCTTTCATCCAGCTCAAGTAGGTACACCAAATAAGGAAAGGAGTTCTCGTCTTCAAACTCTATAAAATCCCAA